TCCAATCCAGCTAATAGCCTGCCTGCCCTGCAGAAGAGGGTGCCTCTTTTACTCTGTGCTTGAATGGCCCTTAATACAAAGGGTCCCTCAACTCAGTGGTGGCCTTTAAGTGCCACAACAATACAACTAATAATTAAGGTTACAATTTTACTGCCAAGACTGTATTATTATGTAGCATTATACCTTTGAACATGCCTATTCTCATTTCTAGCAAAGGGCTCAGCTCAGTGCTCCCTGTTATAAATCATATGCTAATTATAAGTGTAATCTGAACAGCTTTTACTTTTCTTTTAAAATGGCTGTATAGGGCATAAACTTTGTTGTGATGCTGTGTTGCTATTTTGCCTGAGGTGCCTTTGTCCTCTAGCATAGCTCCATGTGTAACGTATCAGCAAAATACTGGGAGGCCAAGAACGGAGTTTGCATAAATTGCTTATATTGCAGGATTATACCAACAGCACTATCATTACTGCTGGTAATTTGATTCTAGCCCATCCTTTGACACATGTAACTTGAAGTAACTAAGTACCCATTACGATGGAAATTCCTAAACATGCTATCAGCCTGAAATTTCACATTATTTAAAAATACCTGGTAAAAATTAAAAATGCACACTCTGTTAAATGTTCGTTTTCATCTCTACATAAGCATGAGATTGATTTAATTCTTGATGAAAAGTTGATGCTTGGAAAAACTCCGGAGCAATGAGCCAAATGCTGGCCTTGGCGAGATCCCAGTTCTCCAACAGGCTGAACATCATCTGAGCAGCGCTCAGCAGCTTAAGCCCTGTATGAGTCACTTGTACCTCTTTATTAGCAGTCCCCGGGAATCTGCCCCAAAGACAAATGTGGTATTTCTGGCAGTGCCCTTGGGCTTTGGTGGATTTGTACTGGTATAACTGAGCAGATTGGAATGGGGATGTGACCCATTTTGGTTCCAGCTAGTGACAAGTTCCATTTCAGGAGTCTTTAAAGGCCAAATCTGCACTTGTGCCAGGACTACTAAAAGCCCTGGACAACCTGCAAGTCCCACTAACACCCTCAGAATAGTGCTTTAAAGATATTTTGGGGTGAGCTGCTGTGGTGGTTCCTGAGGGAGCTGATGTTTTTCCCCTAACATGCTGCAGAGGTATGTGATCCCACAGCATGGATAAGCACTGCCATTTTGCTTCCAAGCCATCTTAAGGGCCAAACACAGCACAAAAGCACAGTTCCCTCCCTTCCCCAGTTTGCAGCAGCTGCTCTTCATTACTGCACATGTCACAACTTAGCCAACATCCTCTTATTTCTCATCCCCTCACTAGACTGTGCACAACAGACCACAGGGTCCCTGCTCACCCAACATGAGAACAGCAAATGAGGTGGGAAAGGATGCTGGAGAAGATTTGGGTTTGGGGACTGTTTTACTTTTTCTATTTTAATTAATTTGGGGGATATTTTGAGCATTTCTTGTTTGGAGATTCTTTTCTTTTCATTTTTTTCCTAACATTAAGCCAGGAAGTTGCAAGACCTGACAACCTCACGACTGTAATTTTGTCAGCAAAACATCGTCAGGAACTGCAGCCCACAATTCTTTCTCAATACTGAAAATAAGGTTCAGTGTCTTTCTTCACTTGCTGAAGACAGAGTTAAAAAATGAAACCTCAGAAAATCTGACAGTGTCACTAATATACAGTGTCATCTTTGAAACATCCTGCTTTCTTTTCTTGGTTGCAGCTGGATAAATACTAGCAACTCTGCTAAGCCATTATCACCTGTTGCAGCTCTCAGACCTCTCCTCTCTTTTCTGCCTTGCTCTAAGGAACGGATCATTACCCTTTTCCCTGTGGATAGTCCATCATGAGCTATTTTTATTCTCTCTGCAATTCCCTAACTTCCCCATGCCAAATACTTGCTAAAAGTCATCAACCTTCAGCAAAGCCAACAAATGAATCAAATCTGCTGCCAGGTCATTTAGGAGATGAGCCAGTTTAGAGTTAGGGACATTTTTTAATAGTCCCATAGTGAGAGAATATTTTAAATGCTATAGTTTTAAAAAGTCATCTCCAAACTTCTCAGAATAATTCTATTTGAGTAACAAGCTGCAGATGAAGCTTCAGAGGAGTGGCTTCCTTTAGGAACATTAGGGCTTATAATAAACCATTTTTCTCCACTTCATAGATCAGTCCACCCACCCATTCTTCCGCCCACAAGTGTAACCCTATATACAAATGCATAAGGCCCCAAAGGAGAAAACTCATTCAGAATATCCTGTCCTGGGTGCTTAGCTGAATGATTTGCATCACAATTTACAGGAACAAAATGTTTTTTGATATCTTATCATTATGTACATTGCTTTTATTTCTCTCCAACTGCATATCATTTTTTCTCCCTCCTACATTTTCATTTCCCTTCAAGCTTTCAAGCTACAGGATAGAGCTACTGAGTGCTGGTAAACTGATGCTGCACACTCCCTGTTCCCTCTGAAGCAGATGTTTAGCAAAGACGGGTGATATGATCCATGTATAGACATCTTTTACCTGTCACTCTGTGGAGGTAAAGATCTGAACACAGTTAGTATAGATTATCTAATTTTTTTTTTCCCATCTAGCTCTTTCCCTTCCATCGTTACTAGTGGATCTATAGACAGGGAAAGCAAGACACTGGGAGTTTTTCAAACACAAGGCTGTCTTAAACTGAGTTATGTTTTGGGGGTCAAGGAAAGCAGCGAGGGGGAAGCTAGCAAACTAACACTTGCTTTAAAATGGTGGAAATTAAATGTTATTCTGCAGGACCTCAAATCTATGGGACACAGGGAAATCTCACACCTTCCAGCTTTATGTGGCAGTCCTGTTGCCCAGTACAGCCTGGCTTCTGTCTCACCTCTGAAGGAGGGACTGAAATATCCTAGAAACAGGAGGATGGGCCCAGGGAAAAGGAGGAGGGACAACTGCCCTTCCCAAGAAATGGGAACACAGAGCTGGCCAGATCTGGTTAAAGAGCCTAGGAAGGCAGTTGAGAGAGGTAAAGCCTGTGTACTGGCCACAGTCACTTCTGACAGAAACGCAGCCTGCCAGGAACATGGTATTGCTTGGGGCAAGCCATTACATGGCTGGGTGGTGTGCTGCTCCTGCTGACTGTGTCACTTGGCACACATCTGGCTGACACAGCTGGATCATTTAACTCAGGTGTTTTATTTTAGTGCCTAACATAACACTGGCAAGCCACACACTATCACTGAAACCACTCTCCCATGCAGCCCCATTGAGCTTGTTGATGAGCAAACGCTTTACACACAGAACATGCAGGCACCAACTCCACCATTCGCTTAGCCCTCTCTGCTGCAAATGCAGCTTTAGCACACAGTGTCTAGATAAACTCAAAAGCTCCAGGGTTAAGTGGGAAATAGAAATCCAGTGACCCCTGTCTGGGCAAGTGAGCTTAATGACTTGTCTGCTGCTGTATGTACCAAACGTATGCTGGCAAACATCTGTCTGAGCAGCCTTTCCAAAATAAATGATTGATGGAGGCGATTTGCCTTTAAAAATGGGATAAGTCAGCTAGGAGTCCTGCTAGAAAAGGGTTAATAGGATATATGAATTGCTAGTGAGTGGAAGGGAAAGGAGAGAAGCCAGAGTCAACACCCCTTGTTAGGTGTTTACCATGTCTAATCTGAACCACTTCCGTTGCATATGCAAGGCAGATGAATTACTCTGTAAATCCTATTACTCCATGTGGATAAATCTCACATTTGAGTTAGCAAGTCTGGAGAGCTGGGGAATGGAAGCTGCTGAATGGATATTCCAGGATCAAAACAAGGGAGCACACGGGAGCCGAGAGAAGCGATACGCGTAAGCGCACTCACACATCCCTCCTCCAGCATCCTTCTTCCCTCTATCATTAAATGGGAGGGATGCAGGACGCAGGGGATCGTGTAGCAGACCGTTTGGTGACATTCAGCAGGATTTATTTCACAGAAAGAGAAAGAAAACTTTGCTGCTGCCGTTAGCTTTGCTAGGGGATTGCTCCCTTGATGCTTCAGGGTTTGTGCACTATCAGCTCTTCATACAGATCACAGACTTACTTTAAATTACACACAGTAGTTTTACAGTCATAATACACAGTGTGTGCACACACACACACTGAGAATTTTCCTTCACTAAGGAAGTTACCGCAGGTAAGTTGAACAAGACAGAATGTGAAAACAAAACCCACAGGAAAAAGACTACTGCAGTTTAGTTATTTGGGACACTCCTAACTGAAAGCCCAAGTAGTGTCAGAACTACCTTTAGAAAGCCTGCACAACAAAACCAGAAATATAACACTCAATACTGCCAGTGAGCAAGGTTTCATGTGCAAAGACACCCTCATTACAATCAGACACATAGGCACAACATACACCCATTTATTGTAGCCCTGCAAAAACATCAACAGACCGAAAAAGATACAACCTTCATAAATGTCAGAGCTCCTACACCATGTTTTCACCAGCCTTTTCAACTATTGTATCCATCTTCCCTCCACACATGGTATAAAAATAAACAAATAAAATTAAAACCCAGAGTTTTCCAAAAAAACTTGCCCAAGAGTTCTGGCAGCACCAGGGATAAAGTTTTTGCATATGTACAAAAAGAAGCACGAGAAGATCAATGGAACATCTGGCAAGCACAGCTGGATCCCTTTTCGATTTCTCTATTGATACTGCAGGGCTGGTGGAAAGTGTTCGTTCACAAGAGCTGGCTAACACAAGCGGATCTTCCCCACTGAAATTCTTTTGATCCAGAGCACTGCACAGAGCAGAGTGGTGGCAAGAAGTATTCAAAAGCTTTACGATTTTTTCATATTAAAGCACACGCATGCAGAGCTTGTTTGTAGCAGCTGCTGCTACTGCAGTTCCAGAGGTAAAATAACACACACTCTCACAGAGACATATACACACAAATATGTATCACGTCACACGTATACGTTGCATACATAGAAATACAGATACACAGAAGCAGAAGAGTTGGCAAAATGCCCTACCTGAGGATGGCTGTGTCCCCTTGCCTCACGGTGATGTTATCGGTACCTCGGGTAAAATCCACGCTGCGGACTGGCAGCCCTGTAGGGAGAAGGCAAAGCAATCTCAGTAGGACCAGCGGTAATTGTTTCCGATCAGGCTGAGCCCTTGCTACCATGGCTGGTCTTGTCGAGTTTCAGTCTCTACTTGTCTCCCTCTCTGCCTGTGTATGTGGACAGATAGATGTAGAAAGAAAAACAATAATAATAATGTACAACTCTCGCTCTGATCGACAGCCCAGAAAGGGGAGGTGATTTCACAGTCCTTCTTAGCTGCCACTTTCTCTTGCTCTTTTCAGTCTCTTGTTGGCTTCTTTCCCCACCTGGTCTTTTTTTTTTTTTTTTTAAGATTTTCAAAAAAGAAAAAAAAGTCTTAGCACAGCCTTCAATTAAAAAAGAAGGAGGAAAAAAGAAGCAAGAGGAAAAAGTCAGGTAGCAAAATAATTACAAAATAATAACAATTAAATCGACCCGTTTAGAGTGATGTAGAGAGGTGGTAAAAAAAAAAAAAAAAAAAAAGGAAAAGGAACAAGAGGAATCCTGTGCCGCCGGGCTGCGGGAGGGGATGGTCCTGTGGCTGTGCAGCCTCCAGCCCCGCGCTCCCTCCTAACCCACTTTCCCAGGCGGAGCGAGGGAGGGAGGAGGAGGAGAGAGAGAGAGGGAGGAGGGAGCCACACTCGTGAGACGGGAGCTCGGCACTACAGCGGCGGCGGCGGGCGCGGAGAGAGTGAGCCGCCAGCCGCGTTCCCCACCCCTCCCCTGGTCACAGCCGCCCGAGGCCCCGCGCCCCCACCCGCTCCTCCTCGCCGGGGAGCGGGCTGCCCTGGGGGGGACCGGAAAACGGCGCCGGGCGGGCCTCGGGGGTGGACGGCGGCTGGGGAAGGGGAGGGGTGAGGGAGGGGAGCGGGGCACTGCAGCAGGGACGAGGGGCTTGTGAAGGGATGAGGGCTGGGGGGCAGAGGGGGAAGCCACGAAGGAAAGGGGAGGAGGGAGAAGCAGAGAGGGAAGGGGATGAGAGAGGAAGAGAGGGCTGGGGAAAGGAGGAGAAAGGAGCGCGAGCGGGAAGCAGCACCGGAGAGGAGAAAGCAGGAGCCGCCAGGAGATGCTGAGCGGGAGGGAGGCACAGGGAGCAGGGCAGAGAGAATGGAGGAAGGTACGGCCAATATTCTCAAGAGAAAATAGTGAGGAAAACGGGTCTGTGGCCAAAAGTGCAAACAACTTGGCTTAGCGGTCTGAAGCCACACGCTAACTGATTTACAGAGCAGCATCCTTGGCAACTGCCTCTGCACCCTTCAAACCTTGCTTCTTCCCCTCTCAGACTTTCCCCTCGACAGATAAACAGTTGTACATCCCTCCCTCCCACCTCTCTCCACTCAGCCCTTCCCGCCCCCCACCTCCTTTCCCAGCCGGAGGGACGGAGCGGAGACAATGCCGGCATTGAGCTGCCCGCGGTGTGAATGCTCGGCCTGTCCTCCCGGCTGCCGGCGCCCGCAGCTGAGCCCCGCGCCTGCCGGCAGCAGCGCTGCCCACCCGGGAACGCTCCCGCAGCCCACATACCACCGCCACCGCAAAGAGAAGGGAGATTAAATTAATGGAGAGGAATAAGCTGTGTGTGTTACTGCTGATGCCTGCCTGCCATTTCCCCAGCCCGATCTCTGCCCTGCGGGAGGGATGAGAACTGTTTCTAGGGATGCTTCTCTAGTGTAACCCTTCTGCAGCCACAGCACGGCGGGGCTGGGACGGGGAAGCAAAGAGGGAAGGCGTGGTTTGAGAGGGGTCCAGAGAAGCAGGTGCAAGAACAGCCATGGGAGATCGGCTGAGAATTGCTGTCCTGCGGGATCACAGCGCTGCTACGTGTGTGTGCAGGAGGGGAAAAAACACTTGTACGATGCCTGCTTCACCTCTGCTCCTGAAGCCTTGTGGGATACAGTGGACACAAACTGGAGACACATAAGGAATGTCATTGTGTTATGCGAATGGCCACATGGGATCAGATCAAAGGTCCCTCTAACCCTTAGTTTTGTCTCCAAGTGTAGCCTAAAGCCAATTCTTAAGGAAGCACACAAGCACAAGAGAAGCACTGCCCCAGGGCACTTATCTATTTCCAGTGATTTGTGGTTAAGGCATGTCCCCAGCCAATGGTACTGTCTTTGTAGTTAATGGTACTTGAATGATTTTCTTTTTTCCAGGAATGTGTCCAGTTGCTTTCTGAATGCCTAGAAACTGGCCCCTGCAGCCCTGGTATGGAAAGGCCACACTGTTTATGAGTACTTAAAAAGGCCACACTGTTTATGAGTACTTAAACAATCCCTACAAGTGTTAAAGGCACAGAAATTAAGGACTAAGGTCATGACACTGCTGCTCCAGTGCCACGCATGCAGTGGCAAAAAGAGATGACTGCTTTGTATTCAAGCCAAAAAGTGAGGCAAGTCAGACACTTCCTCTGCAGGAGACCTGACACCGATAGCACCAGAGGGAGAAGAATGAGGAGCTAAAGGGGTTAATCCACACATCAGATATTCCTAAGCTATTGCAGAGAGAGATGTCACCCGACAAGGATATTGCTCTGAAGAAGACTATGCTGCTGACATCTGATTTCTGGCTAGTAACCACCACACTAGGGCAATGGACAGTGCAAGGGACAAAGATGCCATCAAGTTGCTGGCATGCCAGAAGATTGGCATCACCAACAGGAAACCCATGCACTCCTGTGCCAGAATTCGAGTACAGCTAAAAGACTTGGTCTCATATGAAGTAACCAATGAAAGAAATGCACCCCTCTTCCAAACCAGTGTTACATGGATCCTTTTTACAAGGGTGTCCCACATATGTTTCATCTACATTTAATAAGAGCTATTGTATGATAATTAAATGCCAGCAGAGTAAGGAAAACATATTTGTCGAAGATTAACTATTATGCAACGCAAGAAGCATCTGCCACCCAACTGCTAGAGCTCACTAAATATTTCCTTATCTCAGAGTATTTACTTAGGAGGCAATAACTATCCAGTTAAATCTAAATTTAATGCTTAGTTAAATATAGTTCATAGAAAGTGGCACCAATATGTTTTATACAAAGAATGACAAGGTTTCAGGGAGGGAAAAGGGAGGAATCCTGTCTCCAGACTCTCATAACATCCTGATTTGAGATGGGACTGCATGTGGCCATGCCTCCCTACAAAGAGGGGTGGATCACTGTGGACTCTGAGCTGCCTCTCAGCTAATATGGCAGTGCTGGGAATGTCTTCATCTTCTTCCGCATTTATACAATCCTCATTAGAACCACCACAGCATAACTATTTAATAATAATAATAATAATCATAATAAACAGAGAGATGAGGAAGAAATTCCCTGAGGGTCTCATAAACCTTGGGAAAAATAAAACAAACACTAAAGCTGATAGGTCTTATTTGCTTTTAGAAGCATATAGAAGCAAAAGGAAGGGGTTGCCTAGGTGTAAAAGGCCAAACAAGCAGGAATCACACAAATCCTAGGAGAGCGCCTCATGAGTAAAATAAATAATGTTATTTTTGTACGTGTTCCCAGAAGAAATAACTCTCTGGACCCATCTCCCCCTGCTGGAAGCAGATAATGAACAGCAGGTCTGCTTTCTAACTTCCCTACCCTCCGAAAACTTGAGGAAAAATTCAGGTAAACAGTTAGAGCACACAGTTAGGACACCACAAATCCTTACTGCTGCCTTTTAATGCCACTTATCAATACTCCTGGTAGGTGCAGGACTGGCAGGAATAGCCTGGCTGACCAAATTTTGTCACCATGCAGTTCAGGAACGGATGGGCAGCACAAGCCCAGCCCTACAGGTACCATATCACCCTCCTCTAATGCAAACCACTTATACCCTGTTCAAAGGGAACAGGGTGTAGAGCACCACACTGATGAACGTGGGCTGTATGGCACAGCCAGAGACATGATAGAAAGGCTTGGATGACAGGTTCAGGAAGGTGTCTGTGTTTCCACCCTATGAGTGTGGGATTGTTCTGCATACAAGCTGGAAGGAAAACAGCAGCATGAGCTAACATAGCCTGGTGAGCCCTACTTTCCCTGTGAGGGAAACCTGTTGAAGACATCACAATCTGGATACTAAGCCAACTGAAGGAGAGATGCTTCATGCTGGCCCTGGATGGACAGCCTGTGCTGAGATAGGCAGTGCTGAGATCCTCTGTGGACAGGTACTCAGGGCACCTCCGCCTACCTGTGTGGGAGCTCAGTTTTACAGATGCTCATGGATTGACACTGGGAAAGCCTGAAGTACCATCTGCTTTTCATGGAGAGCCAAGAGACGCTGAAAGCATGGACTGTGTCCACAAATAGGAATGGTTTTTTGGTTTGTTTTTTTTTTTTTTGCATTTGAGGTGGCTAAATGCAAAGAGTGATCCATGGAAACTTCACTCAATGCCAACTGCAACAGCCATCTGTATGATGTGGATGGCTGCCCTCTAGGAGCTGAAATGAGGCTTGTGAAATCACACCACAAACAACCACAAAACAGCAACTGTTCTCACTTGACTTTCAAGCACTACTAGCCACACCAAAACTGGCAAGTTGATTCCAAATATTGTTGGAATTAGGGAAAAGGCATTCTTAAACATACAAAACTGCTCACACCAGTCTCCAGATCCTATAATGACCGACACAATTGTTTAAGGGGACCGTATCATGGCTCTGTCAGCAGAGTCCAAGCATCTAGGGACTTTATTTGGGGTATCTGCAACAGTGAGCAAAAACATATGATGTTTTGTGAGCTATAACATGTTTAGTCAAGATACACTGCTGTACTCTGCAGCAATGCCTGCTCAAAGCTTCTCAGCCATGAAGAAAAAATGCAATTTTGTCGCATTGGCAGAGGAGTTATGGAGAGGAACGAGGAAGAGTTGAAGGGGTTTTGCCACACGGGGAGGAAGATTAAGAGACCATGGCAGGACAGTGGTGATCTCCCCTTCCTCTCTTCATTCCTGTACTTGCAGCTCCTACATGTACACATTTCCACCCTGATGTACAAGGGTGGCATCCCACTGCAATTA